GCTGCCGCCAGCACGGCCCCTTCTCGGACAAACGCGCCTTCCCGCCCTCTCGGCCTCGCGCTCTGCCGGGGCTGCCCTTAGCGGTGGGTTTCCTGGCGCGGGGCAGTTACCTGTGCTGTGGGAGCAAAGCCTTTGGCCATCGCCGCCCAGGGACCACAGCGTGCCTGCCAACGCGTCGCTCTCGGCTCAGCGCCCGGCGCAGAAACAGCCCTTGGGCGCCCCGTGAGATTCCCCACGCTCGTTACGCCAGGCCCACGCAGCCTCGCCGAGCTGCGTTTGCAAATGTACCGGGGAAAAGCTTTTCTCTTGGATTTTCCTAATTTCAGTTAAGAGGAAGGCAGCAGCACGGGCCAGGTGACCGCGCCCTGGTTTCCAGCTCTCTTATGGTCCTGTGAACTCCAGGGCAATTCCACTGGAGCGCTGCGAAGCCTTAGAGCCTTCTCTCTTTATGAGAACTGGGAGGTTTTAACTGGTTTGTAAGTTTAACCTCGAGCTCCACCCTTTCATCCCCTCCTCCGTAAAACAGCAATAGGTGCCTCCCTGAGCTGGAGGCGGATGGTGGGGATGAACTGAATGAAACATGGGGGCTACAAGGGCGCCACAGCGAGAATGCGCGTGTGTGCACATGTAACAGCCGTGACAGCCATGCGGGCAACCCAGACAGACGCAGACAAGCAAACACGAGGTCAGGAACGACTGTTTCATCAGGGCTCGTTGGTCTTGTTCTGTAATTAAAAGCCAGGCTGGCCCAAGCCCCTGCTGTGGCCAGAGCCACACCGCTGCGCGCAAGCCTGCGCAGGGATGCCTCTTCCACCGTTCCCGCTGCACGTGGGGTGAGAGGCCACGGCGTGCCCGAAGGGTCAGCGCAGCCACGCGCCCGGAGGGTCCTCAGCCTCCGTTTAGGAGCCAAAAGCCAGCGCCCGCTGTGCCTCTGTGGAGAGGAGCAGCGGCGTGACTGACGTCTGTCGCCGGGCGGCACCTCACCCTGTAGGAACATCCTCGTTCCCGGCGCTTGGAGGCGAACCCCGGGTTGATGTGATGCTCTCGGCACGCAGTGGCCTGGCAGCTCTAAGGAGCTTAAATTTAATGAGCTTCTAGCTGTTAAATGCATCAAGATTTGGCTATTGGCGACCTCGCACTACACAGCACTTCTCATTCACCTGCTCGTTCGCAGGGAGGAGCCGTTCCTGCCGCAGCCCAAAACTTCACTCCCAAGAGCGCAGAAAGCCACTAACTGTCTCGCCGGGAACCGAGCTGTGCTCTCAGCCCTCCGGCTTGGCGTGTCGTTTCACCGCTGCCACAAAAACCGCCTCCACTCCTCGCTTTTCACCTGCCCACAGGAACAACTCTGTCGGACGAGAAAGATCCTATCAGCCCCCAGCTCGCCACCAAGCCTCCTCACGCCCTTCCCGTCCCCAGGGCCTGACCCTGCTCCTGGGGATCCTCTACCGCCCCACAACGCCAAGCGGTGTCGAGCCCTCC